TCTCACTCTCTCTCTCTCACACACTCTCTCACTCTCTCTCTGACAGTCTCTCTCACACACTCTCTCTCTCACACACTCTCTCACTCTCTCACACACACTCTCTCTCTCTCACACTCTCTCTAACTCTCCCTCTCACACTCTCTCTCCCTCTCACACTCTCTCTCTCTCTCTCTCTCTCTCTCTCACTCTCTCTCACACACACTCTCTCACACTCTCTATCTTACACACTCTCCCACTCTCTCTCTCACACTCTCTCTCTCACACACTCTCTCTCACTATCTCTCTCACACACTCTCTCTCACTCTCTCTCTCACTCTCTCTCACCTCTCTCTCACACACTCTCTCAATCTCACTCTCACTCTCTCTCTCACACTCTCTCACACTCTCTCTGTGTCTCTAACACTCTCTTTCTCACACACTCTCTCTCTCACACACTCTCTCACTCCCTCTCACACACACTCTCTCATTATCTCTCGCACACTCTCTCTCTCACTCTCTCTCTCTCACTCTCAAACACTCTCTCTCTCACTCAGTCTCCCTCTCTCTCACTCACTCTCTCTCTCTCTCTCACACTCTCTCACTCTCCCTCTCTCACTCACTCTCTCTCACACACTCACACTGTCCCCTTAATACTGTGGGCCTCTAATTTTTGTATTAATCTCTTATGCGGTACTGTGTCAAAAGCCTTTTTGAAATCTATGTAAATAATGTCCACCGCATTTCCCTCATCAACCCTCACAGTCACCTCTTCAAGACATTCTATTAGATTTGTTCGGCAAGATTGGCCTTTAACAAATCCATGTTGGGGGTCTCTAATTACCTCGTGTTCTCTAAGTAGAGATTTATTCTGTCCCGGAGCTTTCCTATTACCGAGGTTAGGCTGACTGGCCTGTAATTTCCGGGGTTCTTTCTGCCCCTTTTTGTGGAGTGGGGTAACATTAGCCACTCTCCAGGCTCTTGGCACCACTCCTTTGTCCAATGACGATTGAAATATAATGGCCAAAGCTCCGCTATTTGAACCTGTATCTCCCACAGCAACTTTGGGTGAAACCCATCTGGTCCCGGTGATTTATCAATTTTCAGCCGAGTCAATCTTTTCAGAACTTCCTCTCTGTCTATAGTAATCTGATCTATGTCCTCTGCCCTCTCATCGAATACTGTGGCATTTGGGACATCCGTTTCCGTTGTGAAGACAGATGCAAAGTACTCGTTTAGTACATCAACCACGGCCTCTGCCTCCACAACAAGATGGCCGTCATTGCCTTTGATTGGCCCCACCCTACCTTTAACTAACCTTTTTTCCTTTATGTGCTTATAAAATATTTTAGGATTCCCCTTTGTTACCCGCTGACCTCTTCTCATGTGATCTTTTTGCCTGTCTTATCGCTCTTTTAAGATCACTCCTGCATTCTCTATAATGCGCTTTGCTATCCTCAGTGGAAGACACAGTGTGAGTGAGAGACCGAGTGTGAAAGAGAGACAGACTGATGTGAGAAAGAATAAGACTGTGAGAGAAACAGTGTGTGTAAGAGAGAGTTTGTGAGAGATAGAGAGTTAGAATGTGAGAGATACAGTGTGTGAGAGAAAGAGAGGATGAGAGACAGTCCTCCTGATGTGGAGGGACATGAGGGTCAATGTGTGACCCAGAAACAGGTCTTGTGTTAAGGTGTAGGAGAGGAAGTAAGTGACCGAGAGAAAAGTCTTGTGTGGAGGGTCAGTGTGTGAGCAGAAGATCAACTTGGAGCCAGTTCAACTCCCATAAGTCCCCTCTTACGCCCTCTCCAACCAGGAGGATAATAATCGTTGCATTTGGCAAAGAGCCTTTCATGTCAGGAGGGCATCACAAGCCATTTCACAGGATATACTGCAAAGTGTATATTTCTAAGTGCTCTGAGACGCTACCCTGTGTGGAGAGCGCTATATAAGTGCAAGTTGTTGTTGAAGGTGAAGTGACTGTGTATTTTGTGAGAGAAGGTGGCAGCATAGTTTGCCACAGTAACGGCCCACAAACAGTCATGAAGTGAATGACCAATGTCCCTCACCCTAACCCTAGTTGTTGGGATTGTTGGCTAGGATAAAACATAAGAAAGTCTTGTCTTGGAATTGAACCCGGGATCTCTCCTGTTTCATAGGAGCATAGGAGTTAGGAGCAGGAGTAGGCCATTTGGCCGCTTGAGCCTATCCCACCATTCAATAAGATCGTAGCTGATCTTCTAACCTACCTCCATCTGCCCACCTTATCCCCATATCCCTTAATCCCTCTATCCTTCAGCAATCTATCAATCTCAGTCATGAATATGTTCAAGGACTGAGCATCTACAGCCCTTTGGGGTAGAGAATTCCATAAATTCACTACCCTCTGAGTGAAGAAGTGTTTCCTCAAAAGTGTTCAAAAGGGCTGTCCCTTAATCTTAAGGCTGTGACCCCTGGTTTTAGATTCTCCAACCAGGGGAAACAGTCTCATGGTATCTACCCGGTCAAGCCCCTTAAGAATTGCATATGTTTCTATAAGACCACCTCTAATTCTTCTATATTCTAGAGAACATAGGCCTAGTTTACTCAACCTTGGAGTCATGTAGCTCAGTGGTTAGAGCACCCGCTTTGCAAGTGAGAGACCTGAGTTCAATTCCAGACAGAGGGCGAAAGTTTCCTTACTCCACACAGAGCCTAATAATAATCCCTCCAAAACCCAAAACAATAATAAATTGGTCATTTTCAATCTACGACTGTTTGTGGGACATTGCTGTGCGCCATTGGCTGCCGCGTTCGCCCACAAATATACAGTCAATTCACTTTACAGTGTGTTCTGTGAAGCGCTTTGGGACGTCCTCCCGACGTGAAAAGCGCTATATCAAATGCAAGGATTATTATTATTATTATAACCTATCCTCCATCGGTCAAACTTCTCATCGCAGGAACCAACCTAGTGAATCTACACTGCACCTCTAAGGCGAGTATGTCCTTTCTTAAATAAGGAGACCAAAACTGCACAAAATATTCTAGGAGCGTCTCACACAGGTCCTACAGTTGCAGCAAGACTTCCCTACTCTTGTACGCTAACCCTTTTGCATGACATTAGCTTCCTAGTCACTTGCTGACTGGTGTACAAGGACATCCAAATCCCTCTGAATACTAACACTATCGAGCCTCTCCCTCTCTAGAAAATAATCTGCTTTTCTGTTTTTAACATCCTATGTGAATAACTTCAAACTTCCCCACATTATATTCTATCTGCTACCTTCTTACCCACTCACCTATATCCCTTTGTAATCTTTTTGTGTCATCCTCAGAGCTTACTCTCCCACCTAGCTTATCATTTACATTTCCATCATGAGGGGTTCAAAAGGCACCAGCTCCAAGGCCTTGCGGAAATCAATGAACACATTGTAGGTAGTTTTCCTCTGAATCTTACAACTTTGTGTGATATTATACAGATCCACAACCTGTCCCACACGTTGCTCACAGAATAGAAGCCAGCCTGCTCCTTCCTGATCAAACTATGAGTCTCCAAACAAGGCAAACTATCTGCAGTGACTGCCCAAAGCACCACTTTAAGAGCCATTGAAATCAGTGAGATTCCTGGGTAGTTCTGGGTCTCACTTGTGGACAGACACCACAATTGCCCTCTGGACCCTGGCAGAGAGGAGGGAGAGCGAGGCTCGGACAGAGAACTGGTGAAGTTTAACATATTAATTCTCTTGGACTTAATGAGAATTATTTTACCATCAGTTTCCCATGAATGACATTAATGTGCAGGAATATCTGCCACCCGAGGTATTCAGGCTGGAGACTGGCT